AAGGAGCCAAGGATTCTCCCCTCCCAGGACAGCAGGTTCCCACCCTTTTCAAAGAAGTTTAGTTAACATTCACAATTAGGAAAACTCATTACTCACTTTTGAAAACCTTGTTTTCCTGCTCAAATAAATTTTAACTGGACCCCCAGGAACCTCCACAATGACTTATTTGAACAAAGCTTTCTGTATATATGGGCATCTGAGGAGTAAAGACAATTGCTGCTGGGATTTGCAGAGACATGGACAGTGCTCTCGGCTATGAGAGGCTTTGCCCAGTAAAGTCCCATCTTTTTCAGACGGAGTTCTTTTCAAAGCTGTAAACAATGAACGAAGTATCCTTTCCATAATGTCCTGGATTCCATGATTCTGGATGGGAGCTCAGTATGGCGTGAACCTCACTTTTGTGGCTCAGACAGGAAATTGCGGTAGGTTAAACGTAGGTTAACTGTAGAATTAATTTATCACTCAAACCAAGATACATTGAGAGTCAAGGGGACAAGGACATCAGGTGTTGACTGGGACGGTTCCAGGCAAATGGGAACACAGGTCTCCTTGGCTATAATGGTAGCAGGGAAAAACTATGGCCTCTTGTTCATGGCTTGGATTGAGGGCAAGTTTTAGTGCCTGAGTCTGTGTAGGGGCAAGGTGAGGTCATGATAAAGAGTCTCCACTAAATGTGTCTCCAAATTTTCAATAGAAGTGCAATCAGGGGAAAGATGTCACCCCCTTTCCCATTTGTCATCGATTACAAGAAACTCTCTCTGTCTGATTTCCACAGGGATTGGGGTGAACTGAAACTCCTACTACGAAGAAGTTGGAGTCACCTGTAACCTTCAGAAACCAGCAAAGTGAAAAAACCTGCTCAAAACAACAACCAGAGGCTCCCGGATGCGGTCGTCTGGAATGGCTGCAGAGGGTGGTGCACCCTGCAGGAGTCAGCCCTCCTGGCTTGATTGTGTGAAGAGTGTACATGGAAACCACACACCACACTCCACATGCATGCACACACAGACTCTTCACACTGACATACACTCACTTGCACTCACACCCACACTCACACTCACACACTCACCTGCACTCATTAATGCACACACCCTCTCTCATTTTGACACACATATGCACACAAACACACTAATACACTCTAAATTATACTGACACACATGCATGAATTGCAAACACTCACACACTCATTCTTACACACTCACAACTCTTCCACTCTCTCACATACCCTCACACACATACTCTTACTCTCTCACACTTATAGAACATGTAGTCAGACATATCCTCACACACACATTCAGTCACACTCACACCAGTGCATGCACATGCGTGCACACACACTCACACACTCTCACACACACACGCACACAATCGTCCATGTAGCAGTGCAATCTAAGAGCCAGGCTAGGGGATTCCAGACATGTGACCACTCTGGGTAGTGTCTGCAGCCACGATGGTGACACGGAGGCACATTCAGTATCTGTGCATGTCCTTCCTCCATTTGGACCAATGGCTCTTTCTTAGTTATTGAGTTTTCCCAGATCTTTTTCTGGTGTTGCTTTATGTACTCAAGTGTTGTCAATCCCTTAGCCCCTAGGAAGGAGAGAGAAGGAAAAGGGTCAAGAGCCACCATCCCGCATCAGTGGGCACATGTGGACATGACTTCTCAGCGAGATCAACACTCCCTGGACCTGGCTTCCAGGCATCTGAGAGCATCGGAACTGGAATCCTAACTGAAACACTGTGGACCAGCTGAACTTCCAGGTGCGTGGGGTGGAGGAGTGAGTCCCTCAGCCCCTCCAGTACCCACCTGGCCTTTGAGAGCATCTGCTTTTACCTGTGCTACCTGCTGGCCCAGACCCAAACTCTCCAGCAGAGAGGTTCACCGTGGTCTCTGTGTGCCTTGTCGTTTAACCTCTCTGAGCCTCTTGTTTAAACTCCCCATGGTGGGAACATGGTCTGCTCTGCTGATTTCACGGGGCCATGAAGCTACACAGGGCTGGCAGTGGCAAGTGCCCCATGTCCTGGGAACAGCGAAGCAGTCCAACCTAGTTACCTGACCTAGCAACCAGTCTCAGTGGCAGGTGATAGTGGGTGAAATCTGTGCATCTTGGGGGGTGGGTGGGGAATTCTCTTCCCTGTTGCCCCAACAACAGCACTTTAAGTCAGTGTTTCCAAGGGGATGTGAAAAGAGAAGCATGTCTGTGGTCATCTCTCACGGGCCCCGAGGTCCTGCTCCGGGACAGCCTAGGATGACCATTCAGAAACCTTCTGGGATGTGCCACATGAGGACTGAGGAACAGCTCAGAGAAAGCCTCACTGCCTGCACGGATAAGTTCAAAAGCCAAACAACCCCACTCAGAGGAGTTTGCTGAATGTGTCAACAAATTGCGGGTTTCACCTTTGGCTCATGCAGTGTCTCACCTGCTCACCTGTACTTCCCTCTGTGTTTTGGAAAGAGACCAAGCCAGGCTCAGTGCATCAAGGACAGTTTGAACAGGCCCCCAGGGACTTTGCAGGAAAAGGCTGCATTTGGGGACAGGAGCTGACTCCTGGCACTCTCAGCCCTAACTCATTTTCTAAAACAACAGTCCTCCTTCATGGGTCCCAAAGTTGAGGGGCTGTGGACACAGCAGTTATTACAGCCACCTGCCTCCCAGCTCACGAAGCTCTAGAACAGTGCCCAGTCACGGGGTTCCGAGGGTGGAGGCACTTC